GTTGTAATTCAAAACTCAAGAAATGATATTTATCCATGTTGTGGCCCGCCAGCAGCCAGAAGAGCTGGCAGCGGATTCGGACAGTGAGGAGGGTGGGAAGGAAGATGGGCCAGTCCTGGAGTCTGGGAAGGCTCTGATGAGGGCTCTGTGTCGGAGGCAGAGAGGGGGCCAGAGCCATATGCCAGTTATCAGCTGCCTTCGGAGTCAGACATCAGTGAGGCGGAAGAACAGCTGGAGCCTGTTCCCAGTGTGTCCATGCACTGAGTTGTCAGATGAAGGGACAGCTAGGGGACAGGGGTCGACTTGGGAGTAAGGCTGCAAGTGGACAATGAATGGCCCCTCCCGGAGGAAATAAAAAGAGGAGCGAAAGGGGAGTGGAGTTTGCAGGAGACCATTAATTCACTTCATTGGTTCCGGAGTCTTTGCCAAGTTTGGCAGATCTCGGCCTGGCAGCTCTCCAAGCCAGATAAGGTCTGTGACCGTAAATCCTCCCTCGAAAGATTTTGCTGGATGGGAATGAACAGAATTCACAGCAAATGAATAAAAGGGTTTTTTGTCGGGACAAGGAGTTTGCGTCATGCTCTTGGGAAGCCTCGGTCACAACCTAAATGCTAAATTTCTGGATTTCCCCCAACCACTGGCTGACAAACCAATTCCCTCTTATTCCCTCTTACCCAGCCAGTCCTCCGAAGATATCCTTGACGTAGGAATAGTCTCCCCCAGATTTGGGGATGGTGACGCCCAACTCTGCGTAGCACAAGGCCCCCACGGCGGTGATGAGGCCCGTGACGATCCACACGATCAATGCCAGCCCTACGGAGCCCGCGTTTTCCAACACACCCTTTGGTGATACAAAAATTCCGGATCCAATGATGTTACCTACAGAGGGAGAAGAGGAAGTCACGACGGAGGACACGGACAACACAACAAGCCACCACACCGTCTTCTGAACTCCTTTCCCAGCTGGCTCTGTCTGCCCAAGAATAGAACATAGAATAATAAGGTTGGAAGGGACTTTGGAGGTCATCTAGTCCAACCCCTTGCCCGGGGCAGGAGATCCTCACCCATTCCGATAGGGGTGACATGTGACAGCAGTGTTCCAATATCTCAGGGGCTGCCCCAAAGAAGAGGGAGTCAAGCTATTCTCCAAAGCACCTGAGGGCAGGACAAGAAGCAATGGGGGGAAACTAATCAAGGAGAGAAGTAACTTAGAACTGAGGAGAAATTTCCCGACAAAACAATTAATCAGTGGAACTGCTTGCCACCAGACGTTGCCAACATTGGAGGTTTTTAAGAAGAGATCGGACAGCAATGGTATAGATTCTCCTGCTTGAGCAGGGTGTTGGACTAGAGGACCTCCAAGGTCCCTTCCAACTCTGTGGTTCTGTTCTGTTATTTCCCCATTTACCAGGTGACAGTCAGAAAGAGGATCAAGAACCAGCCACTTCAGTATGGAAGAGAGTTCCCTGCCTGAGCAGAAGGGTTGGACTAGAAGACCTCTAAGGTTCCCTTCCGACTCCAGGACTCTGTTATTCCTGCTCGGGAGAGGGGATGGCCTAGATTATGTTTCCCGCCCTGTTCCTTTAAAGATGTTTGGACTTCGACTCCCAGAATTCCCCAGCCGGAAAGTCAGCAAGATTTGAGATACGTACGGTTGACCGGGGAATTCTGGGAGTTGAAGTCCACCCATCTTGAAGTGGCCACGTTTGAGAAACACTGTTTTAGATTATCTATATGGCAATGATAGATGAACCTTTCTGACACCGAATGGCCAAACTGGAGCACATGGGTATGCACATGCATGTGTGTGCATGAGGGCCAGAGTGTGGAAAACCCGAAGGCCAGTTAGCCAGCGGGCGCATATCTGTTTTTTGGTCGATTTTTCTGGGCCGATTTTCAGCCGTTTTCAGGCCGTTTTCAGTGTTTCAATGTTTCCGTTGTCTTTTTCCCCGCTTGGAATTGGTCAAACTGGGCCAAAACGGGCCTGACAATAGCCCCAAAAACCAGCTGAAAATGGCCTGGGAAAAAAAACCTGAATATGGCGCTGAAAATACCCCGGAAACGTCCTGAAAACAGCCTAAAAAATGGCCTTTTTTTGCCCCTTTTTGGGACCATTTTCCGGCGGTCTGGCACACATGAAAACCAGCTGCCAGAAACCAGAAGAGCAGTTGGTGACGGTGCAAGTGCCCACCGGGGGGGGGGGGGGGGCTCTGCGTGCCACCTCATCACAGCTCTATGGGATACCTGCCACCCTTTCATTCTCAAGTCAGTGACCTCAGAGGAAAGTTACCGTATTTTCTGGTGTATAAGACGCACCGGAGTATAAGACGCACCAAGGTTTTGAAGAGGCAAATTAAGAAAAAAAAGTAGGTAGGTAGATAGAGAGGGAGAGAAAGAGAGAGAAATACAGTAGGTGGGCAGGGGGAGAGAGAGGGGGGGGGTAGGTAGGTAGGTAGGTAGGTAGGTAGGTAGGTAAAGGGGGAGGAAGAGAGAGAGAGAGAGATAAATACAATAGGTAGGTAGGGAGAGAGAGAGAAATAGAGATAGAGAGAAATACAGTAGGNGCGCATGCATCTTAACGCCTCTGCGAACCTCCACAATGCTCCAGCTGCTCAGCAGAATGTTGCGCAGGCGCTGTGCATATGCGCGGAAGTGCCAAAGACTTAAAAGACCGATAAGGAGCTCGGGTGGGCAGGTGGACCCTCCGGAGCATCATACCAGAACGGTATCTGGTTCTCCGGGCAGGCTCCGGTACCCACCACTGATGCATATCTACTAAAGTATAAGTACACAAGATGTGTACACAAAAAAAAGGGGACGAATGGTGGTGTTATATACAAGGGACAACAGTGTTTTAGTCATTAAAAAAGAGGGCTGCTGTTCTGGAAAACACTGACTTCAAATGCCAATGTCACAGAATTGCTTAGTTTGGAATATAAACCTCTCGTATTCCTAAGGAGACAGCCACCCTCAATAATTCTTCACTAGTTCAGAAAGCAATTTCTTTGCTGAGAGGGCTGGAAATTCCCTAATAAACTGCTTTGAATTCATTTGTCTCCAAGGGCAGCCTGTCTTTATTTCTCTCCCTCCTTCCACCAAGCATTCTGATTCTTAGTGAAACACCACCAGATGGTGATCTTCCCATGACTATACAATTATAGTTCCTCCTTGTCCAGAAAGCATAATGCTACCATCATAGAAAGCCACATTCAAATATAGATGTTAGCTAATACTCTGAGATACCATTTTTTTAAAATCTATGCTTGCCATGGTGATTCTGATACTAAAGATGGATGTACGGATCATTTGAAATCTGCTTATCTTTAATACCTATTTTAGTTGGCAATATTCTGGCCTATTGTTTTTCTGCAGATTTTCAAATGTGAATAAAAAATTATAGAAATGTGTAACTTTTTTGAGTTTCTTTATGAAATGTCAAGGATCTATTTTCTTTCTGTTTTCAGATTATGTATTGATTTTGTTCTTCAATTGTTTATGGAGCATTAAGACTACACAGGAAATACTACATTTTCAATTTTGATCTTACATTGCAGGGCATGAAATCACTCAGTTGCAAAACATTGGGCCTGCATTGTTCTATCAAAAGAGAAATTTAGAGTTATAACTTGATGCATATATACATGGAGTTAAAATAATTGACATGATAATTGGGGAGTGTGTTGTGCCATCAGATTTGCCTCTGAAACGGGACAGTTATTGAGCTATTTAGACATATATTTCTACCTGATTATGGAAGTTCTCCCAATACAGTAAAAATTGAGTCATATTTTGATATTCATTTGTTGCTTGCTTCCTGCTATAGAGGAAGGAGGAGGAGAAGCTGTTATGAGAATAGATATTTCAGTTGTGGGGTCCTTGGTATTTTATGAGCTTGTTTTCTTGCAGACATTTCATTACTGAACTAGGTAACATCATCTATGCTATAAGGGAATGGAGGTTGTTCCTGTTTTTAAATACTGGTGACTTGCCAGTGTTGGTGGGACACTTCTTGATGGTTCTTGATTAGGCTGTTGTTTAATCTTAGCTTGTTTGTATTAGTTGACAAAGAGAAATTATTACTTTTTGCATTCAAACTGAAATAACTTTTTCCTTTCCCAGCAAGCTCTCTTCAAATCAGGTACTCTTGAAGTCCAACTCATATTAGCTGTAGCCAAAGATATTCAATAATATTTTAAATTGTGTTTTTTTTAAATTCACCTATCATAAAGAATTCATCCATTCTAAAGAAATATAGGAAAGGCACCGCCAAATAAACATCTTCTGAAATCTCTTGGGATATAGGTAGCTCAATAGTCAATAATCAATAAAGCTGAGCTAGAACTACTTTAGCAACTCCTGAAATTCTATTAACCCCCCTCCCCCTCCTCCTNGTATATAAGTCTAACTTCTATTGCTATTTGAAATTCTACAAAATGGAATATTACATGATAAATGCCAAGCACTTAAACTTTAAATTCATGCATGGCATCTTGAAACCCAGAAGAGCTGTTTTATATTACTGAAACTACAATCTTTATAGCCATAATGATGAAGCTTAGGCAATAATGTGTAAGATCATCCTCTGTAAGCATTATTATGGATATTGAAACTGAATGAGTGGATTGAAAGGGTGGATACGGCTCTCCATGATTTTTTGGGCTATGGAACAAGCTTGTAAGACATAGTTAATGTTGTACACGTCAATGTCACCATAGATGACATCTTAAAGGTGCAACATAGGAAGAGAATATGCCAGGATCTCCCTTATTCTGTTTTCCTATTGCTATGACTTAATTAAAGCATGGATGCTGCATGTAGTTAAGGCACTAAATTGATGCCATGGAAACTTGAATTCAAATAACAGAAACTAATTCAGCAGTTTGGGGCCAGTTTTGGGCTCATAGGACTGTTGTAGAAGGGAGAAAGAAGAGAAAGAAGAGCTGTGTACGTGGCATTGAACCCCTGAATGAAATGTGGGATATAAATCTTGTAAGTAAACTTTTTAAATGCAAGTGGGTTAATTAATGGTAGAGGCGGTTCAGTACCTGAGGAATTGCACCTTGCCATTAAGATAAGTGGAAAATAGATTTTTACACATCTGTTTTCAACTTCCAATGGTTGGAAGAGGTAATAGGCTTAACAACTTAGTATATCTTCTCAAAGAAGGGGAATTGGAGGTACAGATCTCAATATGACTTGGAGAACCTGTCGATGACAGACAGCTATATAGAGCAGACATGCTTCTCAGTGCTAAACGTATTTCTGAAATTAAGTTTGGTTTCTACAAAGAAAACATAAACAAGGAAAATGTTCCTACTTCCCACCATCCTTCTTACCATCTGCTCGAAACCCTCTCCAAAAGCAGACAGCTCTTCTGGAGGGTGTTGGACTAATTGTAAGAAGGACAAGCACACAAAATCAGAAGGACCTGTCCAAGTGAGACCAATTCTTTTCTCCAATGCTGCCCTTTTGCTTTCCACTTTGTATTGCTAAAGAGGATCCTAAGACTTTCTGAAGGGGCCTCTATGTGCAGAAGGCATAGAATATGTGGAAGAAATATAGAAATGTTTCCTTCCACAAATGCTTTTAAACTTATTTTCCTGTTCCTTCATATTCTGAAATCAGCCTGGTTCAATTTAAGAGAGTTTCGTTGTGAGCAATTACAAGTAAGAATCTGCTACAAGTTGATAGATCAACATAAATATCTTTTTAAATCAGAAGCTTCTGCTGCTAATAAGGCAGAAAGTTTCACACTAACACATAGGCATTTTTCTGGTACAGCTTTAGGTCCTGCACAGGACCATAAATAAGACAAAAGCATAGTATACTTTCTCTTACTTTTAATGTATTATATTTTGAATGAAGCTTTCATAGATTTAAAGTTCTCTAATTTGAGAAAAACTTTTAGCTTCCACCTCCAAAGTAAGTTTTAATAATTATTATGGACATTCTTCTACTGGGCTGTCAATGAAATATAGAGAGCACATGTTAATGTGGACTAGAAGATATACCAACAAAACAATTTCATGATGGAAAGGTCAAAGAAGAAAAAAAAGATGGATAATGTTATTTAGACTATCTGGACTATAATACCTTTTATTTGTATTGCAGAAAGTTCCTAATGCTCTGTTCCAAGATTTTTTTCCCATTCACTAATTGTTGCACATGTTGGATTATCCACCGTATGCATGTGCAAATATGACACACTCCAATTGGAATATACAGTACAAACATTCTTCCTAGCATTTTTCATATGCAGAAAATGCACCCACCATTATTGGAAACTTTTCTGTTAAGTTAGAATTATGTAACTTATCCTTTATTGGTTATGTGAATCTGCTTAAAGTTCCAATACCATTTAACCCTTTGCTTGTCAGAATTTAGTATTTTCAGGTTAAAACTTCCAGCTACTTTAAATATAGAGCTGTCCTTTTATTCCTATTACAACAACAAGTCAGAAAAGATACAAATTAAATTAGGATATCTACATGATTGCTCTGTGTCCCCTAATTATTTGAGTGGTTTTCTAGCTGGAGTGTCTTGTAAGTACTACTTCAGTTTCTGCAAAGTGATTTACGTATGATTTCCAGATGAATTTTAGATAGCAACACAGGATTAAAGAGATATAGCAATAGCAATAGCAGTAGACTTATATACCGCTTCATNAGAGACAGAGAGACAGAGAGACAGAGAGAGAGACAGAGAGAGAGAACACTTTTTCATGCACACTATGTCCTGTCACTGTTCAGATTTGAAGCAAATAGGATCTAATTTGTGCAGAACTGGAAATAAAGCTTACTTTATTTGTGTACTTTTCTTTATCCCAATTCTTCCTAACTGTGTAAATTGCAAGTTGTTATAGCAGACCCAAGAGTGCTTTTTCAAAAGGTGGGTGTTTTCCCCTTGAAAATGTTTAGATTTTCATCTAAGAAGCTTCCTCAGTTCAGAGCATCTTCAAGGAAAAACCAAGTCCAGTTGCTTTTTGAAAAAACACCTTTGGGACAACCATGACCTGGGTGACTGAGAATTTGTTAGACATTTGTTATTGCAGAATTTCTTGTTTCCAAATTAACATGTGCGTTTAAAAATGCATAAGAATATGCACTTTATATTTATACTCTGCATAGCCATAATCCCATTCAGACCTTTGCCCTGCACTGACATGAATTATTGACATCTCTGACTTCCCAAACTGAATAAAATAGTATTTTTTAGCAGATTTGGCTAGATGTACTTGAGCCCCACTCCAGCCAGGAGCCCTGTACAATCAGCATTTTTTTAATTACAAAAAAAAAAATATTTTAAGAAAGTTCATCTGAACTCACATCAGATATCTCTTTAGATGTTCACATTAAAAGATATAGTATAAAATCCAAGCTTCCATGTGGAGGGTGTGTATATATATATGAGTCATGACCAGTGTATGTACCTTTGGAAGGAATATAACTCCAAGCAGTACCTTTGACAACACACATACTGTATTAGAAATTAATTTAAGGAAAACATTATTATGTCAACGTAGTTACCAAATGTGCTAATGTATAATTAGCCATTAGTCTACCATTCTGTTTATAGCAGAAAATGTGTTCACTTATCACAATATTTTGAAAAGTACCCTAAAATAAGTCAGAAGACGAAAATACACACCTGGTCATTTGCAGATCTATTTTACTTTTTTTTTTAAAGAGGTAGTGTTTCAGACAACATTGTAAAAGCTATCTACAGATTTAATAGGGAGATAATTAAACTTTCTAGCATTGTAATTAATTAGGAGACAATGCTGAATGGAATACATTACCTAAAGAACTGCTCTGATCACGACTTTTCACCAACAAAAAGTAACTTTTTCTGGTGTGTGTGTGTGTGNTAAAAATGAGACAACTCCTACATGCAAGTTTGAAGTCCCAAAGAAGAGAACATTGTTTCTAAATTACAAAGCATCAACAATTACAGTTAGATATAAGTCCATCTTTCCTAAACAATGGTCCTTTCTGGTTTTAACAAGAGTTTAAGTATTTTGCTGCAGTTGAAACATCCCAAGAGACCCATTTATTATCCTTGTCATACAGAACTCTTGATGTAGTTTTCATCCTATTTACAGTAGGTTATGAAGGAGCAAAAAGTTTAAACACAGCACAAATACCCTGGTACAGAGCATATAAAGTAGGATATAGAATTATAGCCAAGAATGGTTTTCTCTCATTCCCAAGGGACTTCTTGGTTCCCTGATTTATGTCCTTCCAGGCCCTCTAGAGCTCATTAAGATTTAACAATGTAATGTCATGATTACTCAAGTAACTCACTCACATGGAGGTTGTATCTGCTTGTACAGCAGGAGCACATTAGTTTAGAACAACTAACACAGTAGGATTAGTTGTGGGGGAACTGCAGGAAAAATCTCCACAAGGATTCTAAAAGGCTTTCATCCATTGAATCTATTCATTCTAAATTTAAAATTTGGGGCTTCCCTTGTCAAAGAGGAAATAGATCACTACAACATGGAAATAAATTGCTCTCTTTTATAAATTTAGCAATTGATAATAGAATCGCCAGAGCAAAGAAGTGTTTTACAAAAATGTAGAGATTCCACATTGGATGAAGTTTCTTGAAAACTGACAAGGATGTAAACATATTTTCATCAAATTACCAAATATTCTGATGGTTAGATACATCCCTGGTGGGGCTTACATAGGTAATACTCTATATTGGCTGTACACTTATTAGTATAAATTTTAGCTCCTTTCATAAAAAAACAACGAGGGGACTTGATTTATAAAAGATGTATAAAGGTCATATAAAACAATTCTATCATGCATTACATGAATAGGGCTTATAAACTGACTAGGGTAGAAATGATATAGGTTTCATCATATTTCAAGGCTGGATGTTTTTCTACTTGTATACAGAGAGATGATAGAGATAGATAAATATCAAGTGTGTGTGTGTGTGTGTGTGTGCACATATAGGTAGAGGTTCCCCTCACACATGCATGCTAGTCATTCCCGACTATAGGGGGTGGTGCTCATCTCCATTTTAAAGCATTTTAAAGCAGCACTGTCCGAAGATGTCTCCATAGTTATGTGGCTGCATGACTAATTGCCAAAGGTGCATAGAACATTGTTACCTTCCCACCAAAGGTGGTCCCTATTTTTCTACTTGCATTTTTACATGCTTTCAAACTGCTAGGTTGACAGAAATTTGGAGAAGTAATTGGAGCTCACTCCATTTTGAGGCACTAGGGATTCGAACCATTGAAATGCTAACCTTCTGATCGATAAGTTCAGTGTCTTAGCCACTGAGCCACCACATTCCTTTATATACATACAATTATGTATAATTATGCTTATTTTAACTGCTTTTACCAATAGCACCATGGATTGCAAGCTAAAATATCAGTTCAAAGGG